TGCTGCAAACCATTCATTGCATTCTATCACGGTAGTTCACAAATGTCTTCATTACTGGCGACTTCGGTTACCCAAACTGGGCTAAGTCAGTGACCTCCATACAACCGTTTCAGAGGAAATTCATTGAGTTTATTGAGTAGTATCCAACGAGGGTTAAAGCCAACCAGTCATCGTCGGTTTTGGATTTGGTGTTAGGAAACGAGAAAGTGATGGTGTAACAATGTCTATTAGAATCCTTTTTAAGGTGTAGTGATCACGATACACGGTTGCTTGACTACATTTACGATGCATGTTTACCGCAACTTTCTACGGTTAACTCTTCTACGTTTATTGGTTACATTGAACTTAAGATTTTGATGCAGTAATGTAATGTAATTGTAATGGATTTTCCTCAACAGACAATGTTAACCCTTGGTATCCTGGCAAGAATTTACAAATCACTTCACGGAAATGCGAAGGGAGGGACAGTGATCAAGCACATTACCTACCCAAATAGTCAAGAATTAGTGGTTTACTATCGAACAAAGAAGTAAACTTCGCAGAGGAACATCTCATGGGAAGCCTATGGGCGATTTCCTTGCAACAAAACATGGTATACCTACTGTTTACAACAAACCAACTGCGCGAGAAGGCAAGTCGATGTATCAAGAAATGCTGACGTGGAAGTTTATATCCAATTCTAATCTGTTGCACAAACTTATAATGTCTCCAGAACAGTCAAGTTTGGCAGGAAGCGTCTCAGCTAAAACAGAGGAAGCAGCTAAAATGTTAAAAGCTCAGTACACTCAAAAGTTCAGTGCAACTGTCAACATCAAACCACGAATACCTTTGTCACTCAAGGACATACCACATCCAACGTTACACACAATTGATTTTCCCCCAGAAAACATAGCATTGAAACTGCAGTGTTTGAAAGGGAAATAATCCTCGCGAACGGATATCACTCGTCCGCGAACCTTAATCAACCTGAAAAGTAAGATAGCGGGGCCAATAATTAAATTACTCCAACAAGTTTGATAAAATTGTGATACCAAAAACATGGAAATACGGAACAATTTCACCAATATAGAAAGGTAGCTGTCGTAGTTATCCGGCCAAGGAACACCTCGCCACTCATTTTCCCGTATTACCAAAATCATGGCATCCATTTTTATAGACACTGTGATGAGTCACTAGGAAAAATACAACGTATTATCCCCGGTGCAACATGGGTTTCGTCGAAGGCAACCGTGTATCATTAACTTTCTTCTGACCCGAGAAGATTTAACAAAAGCAGTTGATCACTGTAATGTGGTGGACACAGTTTACCTCGACTTTTCCGGGGCATTTGCCTGTGTGAACCACAAAGTACTACATAATGATGGAATTCGGGGACTTTTCCAGGGTTGGATAGATGAATTTCTTCGACAACGTGTCACGCAGTTCAGGTTTATGAATAACTACCTGATTCTATCAGCATAGCCCGAGGAGTGCAACAGATATCCTTGCTTGGCCCTCAACTTTTCTAGTTTTCACAAAGGAACTAACGGATTTTTGGATTTCACAAATGTTATTGATTGCAGCCGATTTAAAAATATGGAAGACAGTGACACAGCCTGAGGACTCATGGGAACTTCAGAGAACACTTAGTGCTGCTTATCGATGATCGATCGAAAATGATATCGAATTCAATGCATCAAATCGTACGGTCGTATCCCTTCGTCACATAATTCGGATTCCGTACTTCCTGGGATACCCTAAATTGCCTTATCTCCCTAATGAGAAGTGCCTTGGTGTTATCGTTTGAGACGACCTAAGCTGTTCTTTAAACTGCTCTAGGGCTTCGTGCACCGTTGCAAGAAATGGGTTGCCAAAGAGTATTGGGCAAATTTGAACCTCTGCTGTACCCACGTTTGTTTTCAACATAAATTGGACCCCACTTGGAGTGTCATTCCACCATGAAATCCATGGTAGCAAAGTGATCGTAAGCTTTTGGAACGTTCACAAAGAATGGCCACCTAGATGGTCAAGGGACGACATTCCAAGACTTATGTAGAAAGACTGGAATCTTTGAGGTTGTCATCTACCCAGTATCGCTGAATTTGAGGAGATTTGCTTTGGTGTATCAAATAATTCAGAATCTGGAGAATCCATGTCGTTCAGTGTTAGCCTTGCCGTCCAACACTCAACTCACGGGGCACCCATTCAATTTGGTGTTCCAAAACTTTCGACTAGAATGCCGATGTCCTTCAGTTGCCCTCAGGGTGTGCGTTACTTGAATTCTCTACCACATTACTTCGTTTCTACTCCCAAAATTGATTCTTTCAAGCGCAAGTTGGATAAAACATTGTCTTCTTGAGTTTGGACATCGTATCAGTACACTAAATGAAAATTTGTGACATTCCTCATCCCACGATGGTCAGTAAATCTATTCATTTGTGTGAAAAAATTATATGACGAGAAAAATAACCGGTTGTAAGNGGAACGTTCACAAAGAATGGCCACCTAGATGGTCAAGGGACGACATTCCAAGACTTATGTAGAAAGACTGGAATCTTTGAGGTTGTCATCTACCCAGTATCGCTGAATATGAGGTGATTTGCTCCTTTCCGCCATCCACCTCGAGACACATTCTCGCGCTACGACTCAGCCAACGGGGACAGTTTTCGTGATTTCCTAGATTCTTATCCATGGAACGATTGTTGTTTTTCTTTGGATGTTTCCAACTTCACCGACATCATCAAGGAATGCATTTTTTTATTCCGAACTTTTAGAAACCCGGCCAAACCGAAAACCCCGAGTTGTTTAACCATGCGTGATCGTTCTGTATGCCTAAAACGCCCAGCCTTCCGCCGCACGCTCACACCCACCATCGCTTCCTGCAAACTAGGAACAGATGCTCGACAACCACTCAGAGAACCTAGGAGCGCTTCATTTGCCATTAAGCCGAAAACTTGATCTCGTCCTTGATCCTGTATGTCAACCACGCGAGAAAGCTGAGGTTTTTGCTTCCCGGTTTGTCGCCAAGTCCACCTTTCCCAATAACCCGAAGTCTCAACCTTCCTATTTCACTGGCAATCATTTTCTAACTCATATTAGCACTAGGAAAATCCGAGATGTTGCATTTTCTAAGCGCAAACCAACCACCACTCATCGTCCTCGAAGTGTGGACTCCCGAGCTGGCTTCTTTCTTACGTTGTCTTTTCAATCTCTTCCTCCAACTTCCTTCTTTCCCAACCCCTTGGAAACACGGGGTGATTTTCCCCATTCCTAAACGCGGCGACCTTTCTGAACCCAACAATTACCCATCCATTTTTCTCATATCTGTTCTTTCGAAATTATTTAAAACCATCATTTTCGACCAACTATGCACTTTCCTTGAACGTCAAGGGATAATGAATCACCGGCAGTACGGCTTAGGCCAGCGTCGTTCCACCGGCTCCTGTCTCAATTCTGGTCGGCTGCACTCGATAACCACGGGAAAACACTTGGTCTGGCTTGACATCTCCAAGGCCTTCGATCGAGTTTGGCACGAAGACCTACCGATGAAACTGCCCACGCTCGGGTTCCCTCCGGCGCTCGTGGCGTGGATATCAAGTGTCCTCTGGAAGCGGACCATCTCCGTCCGAGTTGATGGGTTTCTATCTCAGCCGTTCCTTATGAATGTTTGTGTTCCGCAAGGTTCAGTACTTGCGGACACCCGCTTTCTTCTAATCATCAATGATCTTTCAAAACTGTCAACCCAATCCATTACTCTGCCGATGATGCACCCTGAACTGCTACATCTTCTACCGCAATACTCGCCATGCCCAAACCAACATCGACCGTGGCCGTAGTGCAGTGAATGTGTCACTGAAATCTGATCTTGGACATATCTCCTCTTGGAGCAATGTCAACCATGATCCATTCAATGCTTCAAAAATCTCCTTTTATCAACTTCCCTAAAACACCATTTACCTACGCCCCCATTTATCTTTCGACTCCACCCAAGTGCGTTACACAGACTGATTCCATTCCAGGATTACCTATAACTTCTTCTTTATGCTGGTACCCTTTTGTAGTTCAGCTTGCTTCTCGTGCTGAGCGCAAGGTTGGCTTTTGCATTCCGCGCCAGACGCTTCTTCTTACCAGCTCAAATCCGCCCTACTCTTGAATACTGCAGTGACGTGTGGGGTGAGGCTTCATCTCTTTCCCTACCTGATCATGTTCAACGAAAGGCCATCTGGCCGATCGATGATCCTTCCATCACCTCCTATTTGCAGTCTCTAGATCATCGTCGGGCAGTTGCTTTACTGTAGCTGCTCTACCGTTACCACTTGTTTTTTGTTCCTCGGAGCTTCCCTCGGTAGTGCCTCTTCTTGTAACTTTTGCCCGCTCATCCCGTACACAGGGCTCTAGTCCACCTTATTAGATTTCGATCATCAGAAGTCACACCTCTCTGCTCCAATCTGTTTTCAGTGAACTGCCAAATTGTGGAATATACTCTAACTTTCAGCCTAACTTACAACCTTAAACATTTTAAATGCAGAATCAATAAACTGGACATTGCGTGGATGTTTACCTAATCTCCTTTTTACATTATGCTGTTTGTGTATGAGGATTTGCCCCTTTACTGTAACTCACACCGTGTAGAGAAAAGTTTTTATCGTTTAAAAACAAGGCTCCTCCACCGAAAACCGAACCGTATTCAAAACAATTATAGGACTACCGGTTATGGAACGTTAAGTCACCGGTTTAACTGCAAATCTGCTTCAATTCTCCAACCGGACATGAGTACACCAAAAGGAACGTAAAAACGTGTGGTATATATATATATACCCTTAAAGAATTACTGGAAGATGCAAAGGCAAAGACTGTGACTAGATAATATTTGTTTTTCTTAAGAAAGCGAAAAGACAAATCTGGACCGTTGGATGGTTATCACAAAACGGAGAGGGTACTCGAAAATAGTAGCTATAACGGGCGAAGTATACGAAACTCTTGGCTGGTTGTGCTAGTTCCCAATGAGTCTCTCGAAAGCATTACTCCATAGAAAACATGACCTTCTGCTTGATTGCACTGGGCATTTGATCAGTAAATGAAGATAGTTCAACCGCTTCTTTCCATTCCTCAAGCGGAAAGCTGACGAATGGTGATGTCCGGAGTTTACCGTGTGAAAACCATTCAGCCAATTGATCGATCATTGCAGTTAGCTTAGCTCTTGGTTCTTGATTAGTCCACCGAGTTAGCCAAAATCCTCGCAAACGGATATCACGGAACAGTAGTGGTCCAGCCGGTAACGGAATAGGGCTTCGCGTCATAGCTCCGTAGGAGACCAAGGTTCCTGCCTCACTTAGAAATTTCAGCTGTGTAACAGCTGGTTTCCCACCAAGACAATTCAACGCCAACTTAATGGGACCGGCTTGGCGAATATCTTTGGATATTGAATTATTGCTGTCAATCAACTCCTCTTCAGTTAGAGCCCAAGTGGCCCCGTAGCTGAACAGGGTAGAACGCATTTCCTCAGTCGCCTGTTTTGTGGTACGGGCACGGAATAGATTCACTGGGTGTTTGCAAGAGGGAGTGGGAAAAAATGGTGATTATCTGTAATTTAAAAATTAAATATTAGAAGCAAAAGATATAAGAATGAGCGTACTTTAATGCCACAACTGTATTCAGGTTACAACGAACAAAACTGGGGAATGAACAACCAACAACAGTGGAGAAACGTCATGGTAATCTTTTTTAACTACGCAACTGCCGTTTATTAGCAATTTGTGAAAATGGCTTATACATGTGTCTATTGATACATGAGATGTGCGAATCTGAATACCGCCCTTTTCAGTCCATCGCCCGAACTAAGTTCATAGTAATCTACGCTAGAGCTTTGTCATGTACGGCATGCTGGGGCGGGGAGACAGGTGAAGAATTCTGCGCGAAGATTCAGTATCTGGTCTCCGGGGACATTGCAACCACGAAGTGAAGGATAATTTCGGTAACTTTCTTGTAAGTGAGTACGGATGAAACCACAAGCAAATGATGGGTCTTTTTTATAAAGATTCATGTACCGTGATTTGTTTTGCACAGTCTGAACTGACATGTGTGAAAATAAAAATATAAGAAATTTGGAATTACAGCACAACGTGGTTTCCGCTGCACTACCTTTCTTCTAACCTCCCGCTGCATAGTGGAAAACTAAATTTAAGTCGTTAAGCTTCTAACAGCCTCATTATGATGAGAGTCGGTGTCTCGGGTTCGAAATAGTCATCTTCCCTTACACCTCACGAATGAGCCTATCCAATCAAGTACCTTAAATAGCCTCTGATGATGAACCCACTGGTTCCGTGTGATGTTTTTCCCGCTGAAATGAGGACGAAAGCCAGCATCCTGAGTTACAACTAGCGAACCACCGACAAAGCGTCAAGGGGAAGGACAAAGTCCTGAATGAAGCCCGACAAAAAATGGTTTTGGTACTGGTTACCGGCCTAAAAGGGCATCGAGAGGCATTGGCTACCCTGGACGCTTGACCCCGTCCAAATTGCATATGATCTAATGAACTAAGCACCGGCCCCGAACGGACTGTGAACTCAGAACACCGTGCTGCTGCCCTGTAGTTGGGCACCCCAAGGGTTTCCCCTTCCTCGGCCAAAGCAGCGACGATAAGGACACCGGATATCGTGACACTTGTGATAAGCTTCGTGTATCTGAACTGCGCCAGCCAGCCCATATTGAAGTTGAGTAGAATTACCAATTCAAGTCTAGCGGTTCCTGAGTGTATGATCGACTGGATGCACTGAGCCTTGTGCGTGAAGATGAAGCTACAAATGACGAGGCTGCATACAAGACTGCCGATCGTACCAGAGCACCCCTTGAATCCGACTACGCATTAGTTTGCGCCATGTTGTCCATGTGCTTCGGTGTGCTTCCGATAGGACCGCACTATGGAACTGTTTGTTGAGGAATGGAGTACTTCAAAGAATCGTCATATCTCAGGTCGGGTTAGGGTCTATGGCCAGCTTTCGCCACCCTTTTGCAGTCTCCAGTGGCGTTCCCCATTCCTTTTCAACTTTGTCACAGAGGATGTTCTACAGAATGTTATCTGGTCTAGCAAATAATGGAATCGAACTCCTCCCAGGGACCAGAGTCCTTGACGTAGAATATGCCGACGACATTGCCTTTCTGGGTGACAACACACAGGTAGTCCAACACGCTTTGAACCGCCTGGAGGTATTCAGATATGGTGTGCGCTTTGCGCCGTCCAAATACAAAGTGCTTGTTCAAGACTGGCAGGAGCATGCACTCACCTTTTGTGATCAGCTGGAAGTGATTGACAACCTTAAGTACCTCGGGAGCTTGATCGCAGTTGGTGGTTGAGATCACATTACGAACAACGAGAGCTAGAGCAGCTTTTGCCAACATGCGACAGCTGTGGAGCCGACATGACATCCGTTTTCCCCTTAAAGGAAAGGTATACATCGCCGGGGTTCTTAGAATTCTGCTTTACGGTTGTGAGACCTGGTCCCTCCGCGTTGAGGATGCTAATAGACTTTATGTACTCGACCACCGATGTCTCCGAAGCATTGTTCGTGTCTGGTAGGAACATCGGGTGAGCAATGACGAGGTTCATCATGTGTTTGGTATGGATGGTCGTTCTCTAAAAGAAGTAATCGCTCTACAGCGGTCCGGTGGCTTGGTCACGTATTGCGTACAGCTACCCATCGACTACCTTTCCGTGCTCTCTTTATACGTGCTGGGCAATGCTGGAAGAAGCGCCACGGTGGTCAGATCATGATCTGGCGCAGAGGTATGAAGAAGCTATCTTCAGCTCTGACTTCCTTTGTTGCAGCCTGCCTTCTAGGCTGGGTCCCTAAGGATGAGGATTGTCGATGGCTAAACAGAGATATGATCCAGACTATAATTCAGTGGCGCGAATGCTGTACGGTGAAGCAAGAGAAAAAATTGTTATTCTCGTTATTCGCCTTAACCGCCTGGTCCCCTTTTACTCTGGTATGTATCCCCATGTTCTGTTTTGTTGTGCTAGCACCGAGATCGTTCACAAATTGTTGATAAATGTATAATATATGCATCAATCTATTGTTCATAACACAAACATGTTTCGATCACTTACCTGTTCGTAATCCAAGTAATTTTGCAATCTGAATCACGTAGATTCCCACCGCACTGTTGGAGCCATTTTGAAGAACAATATCACCGGATTTTAACTCGCAAAAATCACTCAGCATTCGGTAAGCCGTGCCCGGGTTTACATAAAGAATTGCAGCTTGTTCCACCGGTAGAGGATGTGCAACACGAATCAAGTTTTGCGGTTTCGCATGAAACTGGGTTTGCCACATACCGGAGGACAGAGCGGCTGGGATTACTAAGTCACCCACTTTTAACGAATCTACCTTCGAGCCGCATGACATAACCTGGAAGAGATCAAGATGAAGTCATCTCCCATTGATGAGTAATGGGAAAAAAGCACTGCTAATGAGGCCCAAAGGACATAAAATAGCTATTCCGTCCGTATACTCTGCATATGTTCACTTAAAAAACGGGATGATGTCATCCTATATAGCACCAACCGCGAATTCCATTCGCGTCAGAACAGCAAATACTAAATACTAAGTTAATCGATCCTGAAACCAAGAACTTGATGCAAATACTTTTATTATCATAAATAAGGATACGTCAAACAATTTACGCTACAATTAAATAACTGCCATAAATCCATTCGAAACGACAGACCGTCAATTTTTGCTTGTCGCGTGAAACCACACTGGGTGAGGTATGGAAAGTGACAGAGCAAAAATAATCACACATTTCAACAAGTCCAATGCAGCTTTGATTACTCGCTCAAAATCAAAATATCAATGTATTTGGTTTTCATTTTCAGTGCCTCTAAAGGAGTATTGACTAGAAAACATAAATGTCGGGATGGTACATGTCACCAAATTTTCTTGAAGGTTTGTTATCCTGCAACTAGCAGAAGAATAGACAAGTGCAAGTGAAACCTGGAACGACCTGTGCAGATAGTTTCAGTTTGTACAACCATTAACCATGCGCTTTTGCGCAACGGTTTTGATGGCTATCTTGTGTCTGAAAGTTTGGGTAAAGCAGTAAAAGACAGGAAAGTTGGCCTGGATACAATCGGGCTAAGCAGAGATGAATGCTACCAGGTGCATCCCCGGGTTGTGGATAGGGGGATACCTACACAGAAGGTTAGCTGTGAATAAGTTGTGGCATACAGCAACAAATAAGCAGTCGCGAACAAACAGCGGCGGCACTAACAGGGTGTGATGGGTTTCAGGCTGGTCATCTGACTCCTGTTTAAAAGCCGCATAAGCCCAATGACGATGTCGTGACTGGTCTTTTAAAACTGAAGTCATTGACACCCTCACTTCCGAAGAGAGGGATTACTTCCTACTGCCTTGCAGTTCGAATCTGGTTCTGCAAGGGCCAGATGTGCGCCCTCAAAATAAAAAGCACCGTGACGGTGGGGGCATCTCTCGTACCAAACTCCCAAGGAACTCCATTATCATGTCTGGAACCGGTTTATCTTTTCCCAGGAGCCAGCCGCAGTAAAGTGAGTAAAGTATAGTCAGAGACTCACCATCTGTGTTCCTCTATCTGAAAACGGCCTTCGATTCCGTGAACCTCTCTGAACCTTTGAGCTGCCTTTCCCTAAAGGGTGTGCCCTAAAAATGTTTATTTCAATATAACGGTCTCTTTATACTAATAACCAAAGTCGAGACCGACCTTACGGCACCTTTTAGACCGAGTTCACCACGAAAAGTGGAGTTTGTCAGAGTTGCCCTCTCTCCTATTCTATTTAACTTAGTTTAGATTTGTTCATGGAAACAGCCCTATCCTCGTGCAAAGAAAGTGGCATCGAGTTGATTCTGGATGGTGGACTGTCTGCTCTGGAGTACGCAGACGACATTGTACCGCTAAGTGAAGAATTAGATATGTTGCAGGCTTTTCTAGATAGTTTGAAAACCAGCGTAGCCATGTTCGGTATGCGTTTTTCACTTTCAAAGCCTAACATGTTGCTACAAGACTGATTCGCTCCAGCTCCAAGTTTCACTTTAACCGGGGAAGTAGTAGACCAAGTAGACAAGTTGTTATTTGGGCAGCTACATCTCAACCGATGGACGCATCATGGATGTCAGCTTGCATGCAGTAAGCTCGATCGGCATTTGCCAGCTTGAGACATCCGTGGCGCCATTGCGATATCCGGCTTTCCCTGAAGAGTAGAATGCCGGCTGGGGCAGCTCGGCCAGCTCTACTATACGGGGCAGAGACTTGGCTATTAGGAAAATACGATATGAACTGTCGGTGTTGGAACACCGCCGTCTACGCAGCATCGCACGAATCTGGTGGGGCAACCGGGCGAGTAATATTGAGGTTAGGCGTAGAGTTTTAGGTAAATGCGGCCGCCCACTGGAGCAAATGGCAGACCTCCATAGATTACGCTGGTTGAGGCCTGTGTTATTTATGTCATCAAATAGGTTGCCACGGTGAGTGATGTTTGCGGAGGCAGGTGAAGGGTGGAAAAAGCCGAGTGGTCAAACTAAGACCTGGCACGAGAGTATGAAAAGCCTAACCAGGAGACTCGGTCATATGGATGGCGTTAGGCTTCCAGGATGAGAACCGCGGGATGACTGTAATCAGTGGTCTGAGACACTGAGTGATATGGCTGAGTGCTGCAAACAGTGGTGCTCGTGCGTCTACTCATTATTGTTGCAACCCCTGTCGATTTGAATTCTCTATCTTCATTTTGACTCCGCCTCAACGTTCCAATCTTTATTCTGCTGCTTCATTCAAATGGGCAGCCAAAAGATCGACCCAAACCGGTGCATGAAAGCGTATGGTTAATGGTTGTTCAAAGTGAAAGTGAACTAGCGTTTTTCCGGTCATGAGGTTCGTTACTCGTCATTCCAGGATTTAGGTAGGTGGTTATCAATAGTTGTATGTTGATCCTCGGGACCACGGGATTCACAGCCCCTGCTGATCTGTTCTCGCAGCCTCCGAAGATAAAGTCTTTTCCATCGTAACCTGCAGGCATTGTGGGACGATGCAACACACTGATGCAAGGGCCAAAATGATGATCGAGTATAAATAGGTGGTGCATGGGATGTCTGGCGTACTTGTTCAATCGAAAAGATGACAGAAGCGGGAAAGTGATCGTATTTGGTGTGCTTCAGAGGATACTAATTCAAAATAATCAAGACGATTCAGATAACATTTTGTATTTTGTATTTCCCTAACCATCTAGGCATTTAACCTTTAACATCAGTCAACAATTCAAGAGTAATATACCGCATGGAGTATCAGCCAAATACAAAAATGGATTCACTTACTCGACCGACGCCTTCATTTCCTGCAACAGCAGGAAGGGATGGCTTAACTGGATAAACCCCTTGGATAGTGTTGATGTCGGACGGATTGATTGGCGCGGCGCACATTTTTATCAGAACCTCATCTTCTTTTAACGAGCCCAACTCACGTTCGGTCAGAGAGAGAACATCCCTTGGCTCGCCATGTTGCTTGTACATGAGCCCTGTAGACGATGCAGCGCGCTGAGCAATACGTAGTGGGAAGGAACCGATGCACTTGAGCATGATTTGTAAAATCGAATAATGCTGTGAAATCGGAGATGAGCTCGTCTACTGAAAACAGTGAGAAGGCTGAAATTGCAAGATAACAGAGAACATGGGTAACTGTTTCCTGAGACACGGTAAAATGATCCAAAGCAGACTGCTCAATCATACACATGTATAACATCAATGAAATTCAGAATATGGATGGGCTGAGCTCCGATTTTTGCTCCCTCAAAAATCCACAATCTCCCCGGGGATATGCGATGCTTCGCTCGTGCCCTGAGAAATGATCTCATGAAGTATGTCATTTAAAGCATGTGCTGATGAAGACTTACACTCTGCCTTTTCGTGGCGAGGGTTTCCACTGAATTGAGACGGCAAAAAGCCGCTATCTGTGGCTATGGTCGGGTTGAAAAGCTACAGGCAGAGAGCACATCCAAGGAAGGTAGAGAATCCCTATGCTCGTAGTTTAAGGAGGCCTATAGATTAGCTAGAGACCATCCTGATCGCGATGGTTAACGGCTAGAGTGGAATTTAGCGCTTTGGTTACCTTGCAGGCGTAAACCATGTCCTTGAAAAAACGCTTCAAGCGTTACTACGGAATGAACTGGGAGCTCCTCGAATGAACCTTCATAAAAGGAAGTTTTGATGATTGAAAGAAGTGCAGAAAAAGATCGTATCCGTTTTACACATTGGAGCTTTGATCCTTTCGATAACGGTCGCACCATTCGACGTTAGGTTCCGAGCATCCAGCGGATTGAGAGGCTATGACAACTTAACTAACTGACTTTCATGTAATGTACAAACACCAACCTGAGAGATTCGAAATCAACCCTCACTCATCTACTGCGAGGACTACGGGATTTACTTCCACAATTTTTTGTACCCTAATCAAAATCCTCCATTTTCATACGCATAATGCACTCACAAGTCATACCACTCCCCCTGTTTATGAATACATTAAGGATGACAAAAACTTCAGTAATGCTATCAACGCACTGAAAAAATGTTGCGCCAAGAAAGTGTTTTTTTTATTACACACTTGTAATGATGAACAGCAGACGAGGTGGACCTCATAGTTACGAAGACTTGCTATTCAATGATCAAAATCAGTAATCCAAGCCTCGGGACTGGGAGTGGCGAATTACCCCGCTGGGTCTGGCGTGGTGTTGAACCCAGCGACAGAAAGGCCGCCTACCACCAAAGCCATATATATATATATATATTTCACGTTTGAATCCAGACTGTGTGCCAAGCCAATCGTGGCACAATAGCCTTTATTAAAAAGAAAAGCGTCCCATAAACTGCATGTGGGCTGAATACTGCCAGGTTGCCCAGACCAAGGCAGGTGAATTTTCTTGAGGAATCCACAACCGGAGCATTTGACTAGCCAAAAACTGACCCGCAAAGCAGTGGGGCGGTGTGAAAACCGCAATCCATTGGGAGCCGGTATCCAGTTCATCGGATCATACGCCCTTTGGACGGGGTCAAACGTTCAAGGAGCCCAATCGAGCCGGTGACCACTACCACAAACGAGAAAGTGCGTGTGGTTCCTACGCCATCTTTTGTCTGGTTTGGAATCAGGGTTTTTGGCCAACTCCCACAAGTTCAGTTCAGTTTGTGCAACCATTAACCATGCACTTTCGTGAGCCGGTTTTGGTTGCTGTCTTTCGGCTGCCCATTTGGATGAAGAATAAGGGAAAACAGGAAAGTTGAAGGTAGAGTCGAAGAGAAAATTGAAGATTTCGGCGCAGAGAAATCGACAAGATGCACGAACGCTACTGTTTCCGACACTCAGCCACATCACTCGGTGTCTCTAACCATCGGTTACGGCCATCTCGAGGTCCCTAGCCAGGGAGCCTAACGGAACCCATGTGACCCAAACTTCTGGTTAGGGTTTTCTTACCCTCTTGCCAGGTCTTAGCTTAACCACCCTTGACTTTATTCCACTCATTACCTGCCTCGGAGAACACCGTTCGCCGTGGGAACCTATCTGATGACATGCGTAACACATGTCCCAACCAGCATAATCTATGGAAGTCGAATACTTGCTCTAGTGGGCGACCGCGGTTACCTAAAACTCTTCGCCTAACCTCAACCCTGCTCATCCGGCTACCCCACCAGATTCGTGCAATGCTGCGGTGTTCAAACACCGACGGTCTATCTTTGTCCTGTTTACTTACTGGCCACGTTTCTACTCCATATAACAGAACTGGTCGAACTGCCGCAGCATACATTCGACCCTTCACAGACAATCGGATGTCGCGACGGCGCTACAGATGTCTCAAGTTGACAAATGCCAACCGAGCCTTTTGTATGCGAGCTGACACTTCATCCGCGATGCATCCACCGGGTGGGATGTAGCTGCCCAGGTAACAAAACTTATCCACCTGCTCTATTACTTCCCCAGTTAGGAGGATGGGTGCTGCATCAACCCAGTCTTGTAGTAGCATTTCACACCTTCAAGGTGCAAAACGCATGCCAAAGATGACTATACTAGCACCCAAACTTTCCAGAAAAGCTTGTAACTTATCTGAATCTTCACTTAGTAGCTCAATGTCGTCTGCATACTCTAGATCAGACAGCCTGCCATCTGGGAGTAAATCGATGCCACTATCCTCGCACGAAGATAGGGCTGTTTGCATAACCAGATCTATAACGAAGTTAAATAGGGGAGAAGACAACCCTATCGAACACCACTTTCCGTGGTGAACTCGAGTGAAAATGTACCGTAAGCTCTGACTCAGCTTCGGCTGAGTATAAAGTTATTGTAATATTGCCTTTCAGAGAAAGGCAGTCTAGAGCGGTCGACTGAGTCGAAAGCCGCTTTAACATCCAGGAAGATAGAGATGGTGGGTCTACGAAAAGAATGTCGATGCTCAAGAGTTTGGCGAGGAGTGAAGATGTGGTCGGTACAATCTCGGTCAGGTCCAAATCCAGCCTGGTTCTCACGCGTGCACTCTTCACGTGCAGCAGGCAATCGACGGAGTATGATACCAGTCAAGTAAAGTAAAGTGAAGTAAAGCTTTATGCACCCAATAGGATGAAGTTCCAGCACTTTCGACAAGTTACAGTGAGGAAAACGCTAAGCATTGGAAAAAGAAAAATACACTTACCAAATGAAAAACAAACGGATTAGACATAATCCTAATGTGACAGGTGATTGTCAAGTCAGTAATAATTTATGCTCGGTTGACCGAGATAGGAGCGAAATAAGGGATCACCCTGCTTTTTGTATGTGGTGGTGCGTGCACAAAGAATCCGAAATCGGGAACGAGTACTTGGATGAGACACCTAATTATTGAGATCGGAGTGCAGGCAGTGTCCTTCACTGGACAGGATATGACTGATAAATNTCGATCGCATGAATCAAAATGCTTGCTCATAATAAAGTCAACCAAAACGGTCTTTGAAATACCGCTGCAACGAGAAAGAAGTCTGAGGGATCTGGAAAAGAGAACAAAGTCTTCCTCCTTCAAATCAGGAAAGCAAACGGGGGAACAGTACAACCAATGTGGAAGAATGCATGCAGTCACAAATTTAAGAATTACATTTAGGGGAACGCTGAACTTTTTAAGCCTAAAGGCATAGGATAGCCTACGAACCCTAATATAGATGTTTTCAACATGTTTGGACCAAGAAAGATTGTGACAAAGTAACCCCAAGATATTTCACAGTTAGC